CCAGGAGACAAGACCCACATAAACCCATGGGGGCAGCTCTTCTCTGTCCTACGGGGAAAAGAACCCGAGCCAGACGGGGCCCATTCACAGGCACATGGGCCAGGGTGTTGATATAGCTGCTTGGATGGGAAGCAGTTCCACCCTAACTGCCTGCTCTCTTCCGTGGGCCTCAGTTGGCTCCTCTGTGAAATGGGAGCAGGGCACCTTGTGGAAGGCTGTTCGAAGGGCGGGAGATGTGGGGTGTGGCCAGTCCTCGGACACTTGGGCCCAGCTGGCTCTGTCCATGTGATGGCCGTTGGGTGACTAGGTAACAGCCCCCGAAGGCATCCCTATGAGGGGTGGAGAGCAGCAGTGGGAGTCCGCACAGGTTCCAGGGAGAGGTGGCATTGGGGGCCCGGGGGCCCAGGGTGTGGAAAGAGATGGGAGTTGTTGAGAGGAAGCAATGGAGGGGAGATGGGGTGTGGGGGGCTGTATCGCCATGCTCCCAGCAGGTGGGGGCTGGGGGGCGGGACAGACTGTGGGCGGGGAGAGGGGCAGGCTGAATAGAGGTCCAGGTGGTTGAGGTGGGGGTGGGGCGAGCAGTTCCCCAGAGCAGGGGTTGAGTCTCTGAGAGGGTGGCTCTGTGGATGGAACCCTTGCCCATTCGGGGATAAGTGAGCCTGGCATCTGTGCCTTCCCTGTGGCCTTGGCTCTGATGAGAAGCCAGGAAGACGGGCTGGGCTCCGGCTGGACGCCTGGGGGTATGTGTGCTCGGAGCAGGCGTGTCCTCTCGCGGGCCCGGCCACCAGGGCTCTGGCTGAGGTGAGTAGGGTAAGACCACAGCCCTGCGTCTCCCTGGCCAGTGCACCCTTTGTCCTCTCCAGGGAGTGTTGGTCCCTAGAGCCTCGGTTTCCCCGTCTGCACCCCAGATGAACAGAACATGTGGTCCTGATGCTGTGACCCAAGGCCTCTCATGGCTGTGGGGCCGGCCAGGTGGGTTCCTGGGGTGGCAGCCACCCCAGGCACTTCCTGCTATGGGAAGAAGGACTTCTTTTTTTTTTTAGGATTTGGGTGAAGATTTACAGAGTAAATTCACTTTTCATACAGCAGTTCCCATATACTTTGTCTTATGTCATTGACCAAAATTTACAATGCAGCAGCTCCCCTCCCACTTCCTCCCCATAGTTACCTCCTCCCAGTGAAGAAGGACTTCTTTTGAGCTCTTGGGCGGGGACAGTGTCAACCACTGTCGTAGGAGGCAGGGTGGCCCTAGAGTTCATCTGAGGGCTCCCCACGTGCACTGACTGGGACTCAGCTGAGCAGCATCTGACTCGCGGCCCCTTCTCACACATCTAACAACGCTGCCGTCTGCAGCCCTGAGAGCAAGTGGCGTGGGGAAACCGAGTCAGGAGTTGTGCCGGGGGCCTTGACAGGGCGGCCGTAGGGTCTGGGCTCGGGTGCCCCAGTATCTCCGGCCTGGCTGGCACCCTCCCTGGTCCTTCCTGGCCGCCCTGATCCCTGCCACTGCTCCCTGCAAATCAAGACAGACAGACAAGCAGGGGATTAGTCCTGGGCGACCTGGGGCCAGGCTCCAGGACTGGGGCTCGGGCGGGACCCCTTCCAGGGGCCTGGTCAGGATCCAGCTTCTGCCAGCCAGTGAGCTCTGTGTGCGACAAGACGGTCCCTCCGTGGCCCCTCCACCAGGCACAGCACCTGCCGCAGGTGGCCCTGTTCCCCGCATTTGGATGAGTGGCTCCCCCGGTGCCCCACCTTCCCTGTTCCGTGCAGGTCGTGGGTCCACAGCAGGCAGAGGGGCAGGCCTCCTCCTTTGTGGGGGCAGCCTGGATGTGCTGCCCACACTAGAAGGAGGGCTTGGCAGGGCTGGGGTACAGAGCGTCTGGGCAGGAACCCCCAGGCGTGCAGGGCACTGCAGCCCCTGGCAGTAGGGGTGGATTGAGCTTCCTGCTGGGGAGTGGGTGTGTCACCCACCCAAACTGGAGGGCAGCCAGCGTGAGGGCAGGGCTGTGGGGCATTGAGGAAATGTGGGCAGGTACAAAGGGGGACACTGTGGCCACATTGCTACACCCCTGTCCTGTTCTGGGGGTGTGGGGAGGACCCGTGGGGCCCTGGGATGTCCACACCAGAGCTGCCACCCTCCTGGGCAGAGAGGACTGGGGCCACGCAACCACCTGCTGGAGGGCTGCAGTCCTGGGGCGGGGGGCACTGCCTGCAGGGAGTGGTCCCTGCTGGGGGCTCCTGGTTAACATGGTTCTCCAGGCTCCTGGTGCCCTTCCTCTGACAGGCTGTGTGGGGCAGTAGAGGCCAGAATCCCGCTCACCCCTGTGCCAGACCCCAAGGCTGTGTGGGCATTTCCTGCCCAAGGTTCCAGGCACCCAGGAGCCACAGACGTGTGGTGACACCCTTTGTGCTGATGCAGAAGTCAGGGTCCCTGGTGGTGGTGCCGGGGCCCCCAGCGTGGGCCATGGCGTCTGGCCCCCGGGTGCCCTGGCCTGGGCCCTCGCGGCTCTTTGCAGCAGTTTGTAGCAACAGCCTTGTTGAGGTCCACGCCACAGACCACATGGCTCCGTGTTTAGTAACCGTCCTGTGGCTTTCAGTGCATTCACGCAGCGTAGCCGGCACCGGCATCTGGAACACTCCTGCCACCCCAAAGGCAGCCCCCTGCCCAGCAGCCATCACCCCAGGGCCCTTCCCTCCAGTGCCCTGCAGCCTGATGGACTGTATCGTAGGAGACGCGCTGGGGGAGTCCGGATGCTGTAAGTGGGCGACACGGCATTTGCCCTGCAGCGTCTCAGCGCTGGTGCTCAGCATCATGTCCCAGGTCCGTCCACAGGGTGGCGAGCATCGGGACCTCGTCTCTCCTTAGGTCTGGGCTGGACCCCGCCGTGGGACCGGACCCTGCCGTGGGACTGGGCTCCGCCGTGGGGCTGGGCTCCACCATGTCTGTATCCCACCAGGGGCCTGGACCCCGTCATGTGTCCTTATCCTGCTGTGGGGCTGGACCCGTTTGTACGTCCGTTCTCTGTATCCCACTGTGGGGCTGGACCCGTTTGTGTGTCCACATCCTGCCGTGGGGCTGGCCCCTGTCATGTGTTCATCCCACTGTGGGGCTGGCTCCTGTCGTGTGTCTGTCTGTATTCCACTATGGGGCTGGATCCTGTCATGGGGCTGGACCCCGTTGTATGTCCGTATTCCGCCAAGGGCCTGGACCGCGTCATGTCCATATCCCACTGAGGGCCTGGACCCGTCGTGTGTCCATAGCCCGCCCACCATGGGGCTGGCCCTTGTCATGGGGCTGGACCCCGTCGTGTGTCCGTCCTCTGTTGATGGACGCAGGGGCTCAGGCAGTATTTTCTCTTACTCCTGGAGGGGAAAGGATGAGCCCCCACCCCCGCTGGTTTAGGCCAGAGGGTGGTGCCATGGCTCCCAGCTGGGCCTCAGGTTGCAGGATGCTGGGAGAGTGTTGGGAGGCCGCTGGGAGGGCGGCCGGGGTGGATGGGGCTGTGCCCTGGGGTGGGCAGGGGGGTGCCGCTGGAAGGGCGGCCGGGGTGGATGGGGCTGTGCCCTGGGGTGGGTGGGGAGGCCGAGGGTGACCCGTGCCCCTGTCTTGCAGCTTCCTCATTGTCCTCGTCTGCCTCATCTTCAGCGTGCTGTCCACCATCGAGCAGTATGTCAGCCTGGCCACAGGGATCCTCTTTTGGACGGTACGTGCGGGCGGGGACTGTGGGTGGGCCGTGGGGGTCACAACTGTTGCCCGGGGCGCTCACTTCCCCCGGCATTGGGCCTGCCCACGGAGCAGTGCTGCCCAACCTCTCCCTGCCTGAGGACGACCCTGCAGTCCTGCACCACAGGCCTCCCTGCTGGCTGGCAGCTGGCACTGGGACTTGAGGTGTGGGGACCCCTTGGACACTGGGGCTGTCTCAGGGCGATGAGGAGCCCACTACAGCAGGCCCCCCTGGATGTGCCCAAACAAGTGGACCAGAAGGGTCCAGGGCTAAGAGGATCCTGGGATGGGCAGTCTGGGAGGGCTTCCTGGAGGAGGGGCTTTCAAGCTGGGCCAAGAAGGATGTGTGTGACGAAGTAGGAGGCAGGGGTCTGCGGGGCCTGCCTGAGCCTGCACGGTGCCCGGGGGTCCTGGTGACCCTGACCGGGGTTACCCCCACCCCCCACTAGAACGCCTCCAGCCTGCACTTGGACGACGCCCACCTCTGCTCTGCAGGCACCCAGCCCAGCATCCCTTCCGTCAGGGCCGTCCTGGTGTAGGGCCAGGGCCTGTAGGATTCCGAGTGTCACACTGCCCCTCCCTGGGGCTGGTGGCCCTCACAGCTGTGACCCTGCCACAGCAGCCCAGGTGCAGGCCTGTGGGTGGGCCCTGTGCCACCACCGCACCCTGCAGTCCCTCTGGGCCCCTCACCCCTAGAGCAGGTCCTTTGTTCTCGTACATTCTATGCATATATGTCCCTTTATCTTTTTTTCCAATGACTCCCCAGCCCCTCCCCCAATGGCCCCTGACAGCCACTAGCAGGCCTAGTCCTCTACACCTTCCTGTCCCGACAAGTCCTTTATCCTTCCCAACTTGCCCAGCCCGGGACTGAAACCTGTCGGTGGTTCTGGAGTTAGGAGGGAACTGGAGGAGGCTAATGTCCTTCATGTCAGTGGGGCATAAGGTATTTGTCCTTCCGTGTGGTCTCGGCACCTGTGTTCGAAGTGCATCCGTGTTGTAGTGTGTGTCAGGACTTCCTGTCTCTCCGTGGCTGAGCAGAGTCCCTTGTGAGGATGGACCATGCTGTGTGCATACGTCCCTCTGTGGAGGGCACCTGGCTGGTGTCTGCCTGTTGGCTCCTCTGAGTAGAGCCGCAGTGAGCAGAGGGGGACGTGTGTCTGTCCGAGTCCCTGCTCTTAGGTGTGGACCTGGGAGTGGGACGGCTGGGTCAGATGGTGATTCTTAGGGAACTTTTTGAAAACTGGGAGTGGGGTTTCAGGACTCCCCTCCTCAGCCAGCTGGGGGCCCCTTGCAGCAGGCCAGGGGGCGTCCCGGCTCCCCACAGCTGGGTGTCAGCCTGGTTCTCACAGGAGATGGGTGTTCAGAACCCACGGGCCCTGAGTGAATTCATGGACACACCGTACACCATCCCTGTCCCCTCTTGATGCTCACGGTCTCCTGGGAAACACCAAAGTCAAGCGTGGAATCACATGTACATTCACAGTCGTTGAATCACCTGTTTCAGCTGAGGCTGCCGAGAGGTGGGGGTGCAGGGGCCGCCCAGGCCCAGCGCATGACTGTGCCCTGCCCCCTTCCTGCCATCATGCTTTGTGTACATGTCATCGGATGTGCCGGCGTCTACAAGAGTTGAGGGGATGGTGACTGATCCTCCTGCTGTCTGCCAGCCTCCATGACCCCTCCCGCAGCAGGGTTTATGGTCCCTGGTACATATGCATCTCCTGGGGTGGCCATGGCCAAATACCGCAAAGTGGGGGGGCTTGAAACAACAGAAGAGTTCTTCCTGGAGACTGGAGGCCAGGAGTCCAAGCAGGGCGTTGGCCGTGCTGATTCCCCTGGAGCTGAGGGCCATCGTCCTGCCGCCCTCCCGGCTTCTGGGGCCCCCGGCGGTCCTTGGCTTACAGATGCATCGTCACGTGACTGTCCCGTGTCTGTCCCCTCTCCTCTTCGAGAAAGACACCACTCTCCTGGGATTAGGGCCCCGCCTACTCCAGTCTGACCTCGTGTTAACTCAATGGACAGTATCTTCAAAGACTTTCGGATCGCAGGCACGGGGCTGGGAGTTCCATTTGACGTCGAGGACACAATTGGAGCCGTAACGGCAGAGGACAAGGATGGGGCTCTGATTCCACCCTAGGATACCACCCACATGGGACAAGACCTCCCTGCTCACACTCACGGGGACAGAGGCTGGGTGGGATGGTGTGATGGAGGGCTGGCCCAGGCCTTCCTGTCCCGGCAAGTCCTTCATCCTTCCCAAACCAACTTGCCCAGCCCGGGAGTGAAACCTGTGGTGGTTCTGGAGTTAGGAGGGAACCGGGGGAGGCTGATGTCTCCATGGTGTCGGGGCTCCGGTCCTAGCTGGCCATGTCTGTTCACCAGAGGAGCCTGCAGTCGGCCCCGCCTGATGGCTTTTAATGACAGCTTTTAAGAGCAGTGAGTGTTGCTTCCGTGGCTTCTCGGGCTCTCCCACCGCGTCTTCTGGAGGCCGGGGCTCTGGGAGCTGTGGACTCTTTGGTTTCGAGCCTGGGGGCTCTGCTACACTGTTACTGTTTGTAGTCATGCGTTCTCCTTGGGGTCCCAGCTGTGGGACCACCGTCGGTGACTGCCGACGCCCCCTTGGTTTGGCGTGGAGATCACGGCCTCTGCTGGTGGCTCGGGGCTCGGGTGGCAGGTTGGTGCGTGGGCCTGGGCCGAGGCAGCCTCCTTCAGCACCTTGCTGACTCCTGACGGAAGTGGCTGTCTTGCTCCCTGGCTGTTCTGCGGCTCCAGCCTGCCCAGCTGTGCTTCTCGCAGGGGCCGAGGGGCCCAGGCCCAGCCCGGCCCACCCAGCAGCGGGGTGGGCTGCAGGCAGGGCCGTCTGCGGGGGGCACAGACACGAGTGTTCACTGGGAGATGGCCCCGCTCCTTCCTGCGCAGATTCGTGGGCTGGGATCAGCCTGCGCCCAGATGACTAAGAGGGTCACCTCCCCAGTGTCACCGGAGGCCTGGCCCCGTGCAGCCCCCCGCCTCGTCTGTCAGCACCGGCTGCATCCCCTCCCAGGCAGCTCTCCGCGCGCAGTCCCAGCTCGCGGGCCCAGGCGTTGGGTGCGGTGCTGAGACCTCCCGCTGCCTGCTGCCGCCTCCCAAAGGACACACCTCTGCTCACTGCATCCCCTACATCGCCGTGTCCCTGGTCCCCCGTCCCCGGGTCTTATCCTCCATGTCCTTGTCCCTTGCCCCTCGTGTCCCCCATCCCCTCACCCCCCATGTCCCTGAGTCCCCCCCTGGGTCCTTCCCCCCCAGGTCCCCCACCCCCAGGTCTTCTCACCCTGGGCCTCCTCTCGGACCCCTAACTCCCAGGTCCCCCCCACACATGGGTCCTATACCCCCATGCTCCCCTACCCCTGGATCCCCCATTCCCGGGTTCCCCACCCCACACCCCCTACTCCCAGGTGCACCCACCCCCGGGTCCTTCCACCCCCGAGTCCCCCAACCCCAGGGCCCCCCACCCTTGGTTCCCCCACTGCCCCAGCATCTTTAAGGCTTGGACGCCACCTGGTGGCTGTTTTCTGTGCTGTGATTTCGGTGTTGGGCACCCGAGGACAGGTTCAGGTGGCCTTGTCCCTGTCCCCCACCCTGAGGAGAGGAAATGGGTGTGGACGCTAACCTCCCTCCCCCTGGACTAGGGTGGTATGTACCCACAAAGCAGCTCCCCTGCCTGGGGACCGACCGTGGATGCTTACAGCACTCCGAGCAGAGAGCCTCTCCTGTGCACTTGCCCCTCAGAAATGCTGCCCCCCACCACAGGCAGAGACCCCTGTGTCCCTTCTCTGGCCCCTGCCTCAGGGCAGCCAGCCGTCCTGCCGCCCTCGTGTCCGCAGGCCGTTCCCCATACTGCCACCAGAGGGCGCGCACTGAGCACAGATGCGGCTTTTGGAATCCTGGGCCAGGTGAACGCTGCTTTTCAGACCTTTGACCCATGTTCTGTGCTCCCTCCTTTACGCCCCAGCGCCTCGCCACCTCTCCCCCGCCCCTCCTGGGGCCTCGCCACCTCTCCCCCGGCCACCTTGTGTGAATACCTCCAGCCCACCGCCATCACTGAGTTGCTCTGTGAACCCGTCTGGGCCTCAGTTTCCCCACCTGTAAAGGACTCTGGAGACGCAGCCTTGCCCAGTTTCTGGCTCGTTTCCTGGCTGGCTGTGCGGAGGCTGACCCCTCAAGGCAAGTGAGGCTGGCCGTGTCCCATCCCAGTGGGGAGTGAGGCCGCCACCAGCCAGCCTGGAAGGGCAGGGTTAGGCCACATCTCTGACACTGGCACGGTGGGGGCCTGACGTGTCTTTGGGGCCGCTTCTTGGAGGGACGTGACACTCAAGTGAGTTGGCAAGGGCAAGGAGGAGGTAAGCAGGTAAGGGTGACCAGTGCTGGGGTTTGAGGTAGCTGAGACCCGCCAGAACCTCATCTAAAGCCTCAAGGGGCCAGGGCTCAAGCAGAGGCAGAAATCAGGGAGGCTTCCTGGGGGAGGTGAGGTGACAGCTGGTCTGGAGAACCCCAGTCCTGGGTGTTCATGCCAGGCCAGTGGCAGACGTGTGTGGTGCCTGGAGCCTGGCTGGGAGACTGGTGGGGCCGGGCGGCCGCCAGGTGGCGCCGTTGGCGGGCTGGAGTCAGGCTCAGGGCAGAGGGGCCGGGGGCCGGGTTGGGGGGCCGGGGTGAGCAGGGACTTAATGGTGGAGGCCGTCATCTGAGCACCTTCTCTCCAAAATCCCATCTCCTTCTGTTCACAACGCTTGGTGCTCACTCGGCCAGAAGCTGCGGACTCGGCCCTCAGGCCGGCACTGCCTCTGAGGGGCTGAGGGGCCCTGCTGGGCCAGGGGCTCCAGAGTGGCCTGAAGATGCCGCTTCTGGAGGGGGCTCCTCACAGCTCTGGTCTGGCTGCGACAGGGGCACCCCAAGGGCTGCTGGGCACAAGGAGTCGTGTGCAGCTGAGGGCAGGGGCCTCCTCTTGGGCTGTGGTCACTTTACATGTGGTTCTCAGCTCAGGATGTGTGTTCACGTGTATGCATGGCTGTGCCGTGTGTGCGTGGCTGTGCATGTGTGAGAGTGTGTACATGTGTGTTTACCTTTGAGTGTGCCTGTGTGTACACACACGTGTGAGTATGCCTGTGTGTGAGTGTCTGCAGGTATGTGTCTATGTATGTGTTTGTGTGTGTGAGAACGTGTGTGTGTTTATGAGTGTGTGTGAATACGCCTGTCAGTATCTGTGTGCATGTGTACATGTGTTGGTGTGTGTGAGAGAAAGTGTGTGTGTGTGTCTTTGAGTTTGTTGTGCCTGTGTCGTGTGTGCTTGTCCACATGTGTGTCTGTGTGCACTTTGTGTGTCCGCATGCAACATGCTTGTCTGTACCTCCGTGTGCGTGTACATGTATATACCCATGTGCATGAGTGTGTGTGTGTGCACACGAGCAGTTTTCCGGTCTGCTCCCCGGGGCCCTGCTGCTGGCAGAGACCCCATTCTCTGCAACAGGAGAGCTCGCCTGGGCCCAGGTGAGGGGCTGCTTTTTGTCTCCCAATCCCTGAGTTTTAGTTCCACCCAGCCAGCCACTCACACGTGCGCCACAGACACGGCGCTCGGGGCCTCCCGGGGAGCGGAGCAGGAAGGGCTGCCGTGGGGCCTGAGCGCCTGTGGTGGAGCCGACCCCGCTGCGGCCGGAGGCCTGGGGGATGAGGTCATTGTGACCGCCTCCCCTCGCCGGCCCGCGCAGCCACCCAGCCCCCCGCCAGCTGCGTCTGCTGCTGCTGCGTCTGCTGCTGCTGCTGCTGGGTTCTGGGCCCCTTGGCCAAGCGAGGCCCCCTGCTCTCTGTGCCTCAGTTTCCTAGCTGGAAGGACACCCAAGTCCCTGGCAGCCCCGCGGGGACGCTGTAGGCCCTGGGCCTCCGTGGGTGCCCCGCCTGTGGAGCGACGTGCACTTCTGCCCACACCCTCTGTTCTCTCACCGTGGGCCCTGTGGGCCGTGCACCCAGGCTCTGTCCTCTCCCCGCCTCTGCCCTGTAACCCCAGGGACATTTTGCAGCAGCAGGAGCCAGCAGCTGCCCCGCCCCCGCCCTCAGCCGCTGTCTGCACGCCCCCGGCTGGGCGCCGTGTATGCGTGACCTCAGAGCCCCCACCAACAAAGCCAGGGTCTGTGGGCTTCTCCGCCACCCCCTGCTTGGGGCCCTCTGCCCTGGCCTCCTCCACTCTGCCTGTGAGCTCCTACACATCCCACAGAGCCCCACGCTGCCACAGTCTCCTCTGTGGTCCTTTGGCTTGCCTGGCCCCCAGCCTCACTGCCCGCCCTCCTCTGGGCGCCAGGGTCCCCTGGAGAGGCCTTATCCCCTACCTACGAGGCTGTGAGCATGCTTGTCTCTGTGCCCGGAGTGCAGAATCACCTGCCTGGAGGGGTCATCCCTGTGCCTGGGCCTCCCAGACGTTCAGCACCAGGGTGTGACACTCACTCACCACCTCCCTGTTTACATGGGACTGCACTTATTCAGCGTCTGCTAAGGAGGCCTGGGGGCATGGAGGCTATGGGCTCTGGGTGGGATGCACCTCCCGGGTGAAGTGCAGGGCCTGCAGGGGGGGGCTTGCGCCTGGGAGCCTGCGTGCGCACCCGTGTGTCTGCGTGCTCGTGTCCTGCTGGGCCCCAGCCCACTGTCACTCGGCTCAGACAAGGCCTCAGCAACCCTCTACCCACATAGGGCCACTTGCACAGGTACAGCCTGGGGCCTTGGGGAGGCACCGTCCGCCCACAGCAGCGTCATTTCAGACTAGGGGACAGCTGTGAGTCACCTCGTGAGCTCCCCACCACCCTGTGCCCACACCCACCAACCGGCCGCCTTCGGCCCCACTTTCTTCTCTCCTCTTCCCTGTCTCCACGTGTACAAGTCCATGTACATGTCTGGGTACACACACACACCCCCGTGTTGTTTCCATGTTGTTATTGCTGTTGAGTTGGTGCCGATGGACAGTGACCCAACGTGGAAAAGAACAAAACGCTGCCTGGCTGTGCCATCCCATGGCCCTTGGATGTGAGGGTCCGCTGTGGCCACTGCCTCCCAAGGGCCGTGCAGCCTTGGGTATCCTTCAGCGTGCCGCCAGGCAGTGCTCTGTTGGGACCTGGGTGTCTCCACTGACTGACGTCTGGAAGTCGGGCAACAGGCCCTTCTCCCTGCTGTCTTGGTCTGGAAGCTCCGCCTGAACCCTGTCCCATTCCTTCTGAGTGACCCTGGGGGCCTTTGAAATACCAACAACACAGGAGCACGCAAGTCACCATGGGACAGAGTGCTGATGGGTTGGGTGGGTGGACAGACAGACCCAGGAGAGCTCTGCTGTCTCCTGAGAGTGAGTAGGGGAGGCTGCACCCCTTCTTCTGTGAAATGTCCCACCAAACTCAAAAACCAAACTCACCACTGTCAAGTTGGACCTGACTCATAGCGACTCCTCCTTGGGTTTCCAAGGTGGTATCTCTATGGAAGTAGATTGCCCCATCTTCCTTCCGAGGAGTGGCTGGTGGGTTTGAACCTCCAGCCTTCTGGTTGGCAGTCAGATGCCTTAGGCACTGCTCCTGAAATGAGGAGTTCGTCCCCAGTGAGCACGTGCACTGGTATGTTCTGTTCCCTGGTGCCGCTCTGACAGGAATAGACCACAAATGGGATGCCCTTAACAAACGGGTTTATTCTCTTACAGTTCAGGAGGCTAGAAGTCCGAGTCCAAGTGCCAGGCTCTAGGGGCTGGGTGAGAGTCTCGCAGCCTTGGGCTTCAGCTCTGCCTCCTGCTTCCGGGCCACCGGAGCTGGAGGCTTCTCTTCACTCAGGCAGCTGCTGGCTGCTGAGACTGAGAAGCCCAAGGTTGACATGTAAAGAGGCACAGTCCCGATGTTACCAAACCCTGTGGCAGGCCATTAATTGAAATCCATTGAAAGTCCCCAGGTTGGCAGAGCATGGCAGGCTGCTGAACAACGACATGGCTACATGTAGGGTTCAAGCATGCCATAAGCTAGAGTCTGTTCCCCAAGGCTTTTCCTTATGTACAGGAAGCAGACCACATCCCTAAGGCATCCACTGAACTGCTCACAGTAGATTCCACCATGGAGCTGATTGCCAGTCTCATCATGGGGAATCCTCCATCCAAGTGCCCAGCCCCTCAACCAGGCCCAGCCAAGTTGACATACAAACTTAACCACCACACAGCGTGACACTTCTGCCTAACTCAGGGCCTGTGCTCGGACTGCGTCCCCTCCCTGATGGCATTGGCTTCCTGGGCCAGGGTCCCTCCTTGGGCAGCTGTCCCAGGCTCTGTGCCTCTCTCCTGGGCAGGAGGGGTGGGTGCCACTGTCCCCTGTTTATAAAGGTGGACACAGGGGCCTGGGATCAGTGCCTTGGCCTCTGAGGAATCGGAGAGGAGGGCCTCTGAGCAGGGGCAGAGCTGAGTGGGCCTATGTGGCCCGGCCACCACAGAGACACCGCTCTGCCCTGCTGAGTCCCTTCCCTGCTCTGAGCTTCACGGGATTTGTACTGTTGAGTCCTTGGCCTTGCAAGGAGGCCGGGATGTTCCTTTATGCCTGAGCCTCACTCTGTGGGAGCCAGGACCCTGGAGTCCATGCCTCCCCCCAGAGCCTGCCTGCCTGGTCCTGCTGGGTGAGGGGCTCTTGGTGGCCCTGTCTTCCAGCTCCCAGGAGTCCTCGGGAGGCCAAGCTGTCTGCTGCAGTCATGGGCTCAGGCAGGCGGTGGAACTGGCCTGTGTGGGGCCCAGGGGCGCTCATCTCACAGGGCTCCATCCTGGGGCTGGGGGCGTGTGGGAAGCAGGGCGCCCATTCCCCACAGCACTTCATCCCTGCATCTCCCGTGGCGCTGCCTGGGCCCCTCTGAGCTTCAGCCACACCCTGGAAGGAAGAGGGGTGTAGCCAGGGCTGCTGTGTCTGCGGGGGGCTGGCAGGGTTCGAGGTGTGGCCCCAGCCCTGCTGTGGCCCAGTGCCCAGCAGTGGGGCCTCACGGCCTGTTCCCGAGCTCTGGAACGAGATTTGTGGAGCAGCCCTCGAGCGTGGCCTTCCCCAGAAGGAGTGCTAGTGTTCAGGACAGCACCTCCTCGGGTCTCCTAGCCTCCCTGGCCAGCCCCCTGGCCCAGCCTGTGTCCACAGCGTGTTTAGCACTGGGCCGGGCTGGGTTCAGTGCTGCACCCCCTCCCCAGGGCTCTGGGCCTCAGCAGGCCTCTTCCCTCCGGAAGCCTCTCTGCTATTACCCCAGGGGACAGCAACAGTAACCTGCTCGTGAAGCGGCCAGGCGGGCTTGCAGCCCGTCTCCCTCTGACCAGGAGAACTGCACCCACAGGTCACACTGCCACACTGCCTGTCCTGGCATCTAGTGTGTGTGTGTGCATGGATGTACATCTGCACACATGGGTGTGTTACGTGGGCATGTGTGTTTGAGGTTGTATGCACATGTGTGTGAGGTTCTGTGTGTGCGCATGTGTGAGGCTCACGTGTGTGGAGTGTTGCATGTGTATCTGTGTGGACGCATGAGAGGCTCCTGTGTGAGCATCCATGTGTGCATGTGTGTGTGCAGCTCATGTGCCTGTGAGGTGTGTATGTGTGTGCACTGCTCACACGTGTGTGAGGTTGTGTGTGTGTGTGTGTGTTTGTGGAGGGGGCTGTGTGAGCAAGCCTGTGTGTGTGCTCTGCAGCCCCCTGGGGTGGCTGGGTTCCTGGGTGGTCTCTCGCTCCCACTCACACGTCTAGGCCCCCGCCCTCTCTCTCCCTGCTCTCAGGGACCAGGCTGATGCAGCTTCAGGTGGGTAACCAGAGACCAGCCAAGTTGGGGGTGAGTCATGGGCACCTGCGGGTTGGTGGCTCTCGGTCTTCTCCCGAGCTGGCGGGAAGAGCCTTTCTGGGGACGGGGGCCCCAGCTCAGGGGCTGGAGACTGTGGGGGGGCCGGTGGGCCACGTCCACACCCAGCTGGGCCCGTGGAGGGGCCCCCGCCACTTTGTCCTCCGTGAGCCCCCTTGGCTCCCTGCGGCCACAGTGAGGCCCACGTGGTTAGCATCCTCCGGAAACTCGGGACAAAAAGTCAGGCCCGGGGTGGGGGCCGCCTGCTGCGGGCCATGGGCGGGGGCTGGCTGGAGGGCCTCTCCGCTCGGGGTTTATGGGATTAGAGAGTGACGTCCGCGGGGACAGGTGTCTCCTTTATGCTCTGTGCGGACGGCCGGAGGGCGGCTTGTCGTCAAGTGCCCGTCGGCGGGGGTCTCCGTTTCAGGGGAGCTGGAGGCCGGGTTTTGTTTGGCCTTGTTTTCTATCTGACCTCGGCCAGCTGGAGCGGCTTGCTTTACGCACAGGGGGACAGCTGACATAACACGACGGGACCGGGCGGGGGCTGGCACCGGGGCTCCACGTGGGACTCTGGGGGCTCCCCTAGGGGATGTGGCCAGGGGACGATGGGCTGTGCCCTCTGGCCCGCCGGTGGAGGGTGGCGGCCGGGCTTGGCCAGCTGCTCCTGCCACGGGCTCCTCACAGGGTGTGAGGGCGCAGGTGCCGGGTGACAGCGGCCCCCGTTCCAAGGGGGGCGGCCAGCCTCTGCTCCCCAGGTCTCAGGACAAAGCCCGGGCCCGGCCGCACGGCAGTGACGGGCTTTGTCGCCTGACTTCCTGGGCCCAGCCGCACAGCAGTGACGGCTTTTGTCGCCTGACTTCCGCAGGAGAAGGTCTTCTTCGTGGTTGTGTGGAGTCACGGGCCTGCGCATACGCCCAGGTCACCGGCCTTGCTCTGCAGCCCTTCGTGTGACTTCTCCATACGTCGTAAGGGCAGTGTGCAGAGCCTGGGGAGGCCACCTGGGGAGAGCGGGCTCAGCCACGGGCATGGCAGAGAATGGGGTGCTGGAACACCCCCTTCTGCCTGAGAGCAGCAGGCCACACAGCTGGGGGCCCTCAGCTGGTGCTGGCAGGACACACGTGGTTGTGGGGGCCTTCTGAACCCCAGAAGCAGCCTCCAGCAGCTGCCTGGGGACACACTGGGGTGAGCCCCCCCGCCCGCTGCCTCACCCCCCATTGGAGCAGCGGTAGGTAACCAGGGCTGAGGGCAGCCTCCTGGGCCTGCTACCAGCCATGACCAATCTTGAGTGGCCCTCTTGGGTGTCCCGTGGCTCGGGGGTGAAGTGATCATCTGTAAATGCCAAGGGCCCAGCAGGCTCTCCCAGCCCCAAGTGCTAGCAGGACCACAAGGATGTGGGCCATGGCCCCACCTGTGATGGTGGACCCCACAGGAACAGACCCACGGAGCTGATGTGGGAGGCGATATGGGTATGGTCTGGCACTGCCCTCCTCCTCCTGGCCACACAGGCTGGCACAACCACTCCGACGGCCGGGTGTGGTCGGCGGTGCTGCCAGCTGATGCGGCCACACTCAGGGTCCCCAAAGCAACAGGGTGGAGGTGGGTGTCCTTGTCCAGCCTGAATGGCTGACTGAGAGGTCAGCACACATGTGTGGGCACACACATGGCACACATTCATAGACACACACAGGCCCACAGGCATGGGCACACCTGAAGTGAAAGGCACACACGTGCTGGTGTGATGCTGCATATGCAGGCACACCCATGTCAGATGCACACACATGCCCAGTCACAGGTACGTGCACAGGCACATGCAAGATAACTGTGTGCTCACACTCATGCATGCGCACATGGACGCACATGGGCACACATGTGGATGCACTCAAACACACACACACACTGGCACACATGCACTTAAGTTGGACATGCTCAGGCACATGTGCACATGCACTCAAGCACACACAGGCACACATAACTCATGCAAGCATACACTGTAGACATGCTTAGGCACTCACGTGCTTACACAGGCACACTTGCACGTACATAGGCACACACTGAACACATGTATGTGTTTGGCACCTCTATGCTCACAACACACTGCATACATGCTTGGGTACAGGTTCAGACACCCATACAGCTCACACGTGCACATGCCATGGGCATATACTTGAGCACCCATACAGCTCATATGTGTGTACATGCCATGGACACACATTCAAGCACACATACACATGTGCTCAGGCACCCATACAGCTCACATGTGTACATGTACACATGTGCTCAGGTACCTGTACAACTCACACACATGTACATACCATGTGCAAATGCTCAGACACATGCACATATGTGCTCAGGGACCCATAAAGTTTGCACACATGCACATGCCACGGACACATGCTTAGAAGCATGTACACACATGCTCAGGCACCCATACAGCTCACACACATGCACATGCCATGAGCACATGCTCAGAAGCATGTACACATGTGCTCAGGCACCCCTACGGCTCACACACACATACACGTGCTCAGACATCCACACGCACAGGCACACACATGCACGCCAGCACACCCGGCCTTGGAGCTTCAGGCTGGGGGAGTGGGCCCCTGTGGGGCCATGTTCCCTTGCACACTTAATCCAGGAGCTGTCAGCTCTGGAGGCTGGATGAGAACAAAATGTCAAGTGTGAGCAAGGAGGCTCAGCCCCTCCTGGTGGGCCCCCTCCTGGTAGGCCGTGTTCTGGTCTGTTTCTGGGGTGGGGAAGTGATGCATCTGGGCACTGAGAGTGGGGTCTGGGGGTGCTGGGGGCCTAGTGGCCCAGGTTCATGTTGCCTCTGCAGCCAGAGGGAGGGCTGGGCATGGTGGCTGCTGTCCTTGGCGGGGGGCCTTGCATGGGGTCTGTCGGGGAGTCGGGTATTTGCACTGCAGCCCTGGTGGGTGCCACCGAGGGTGGGTACCACCAGGGCGGGTGCCACTGAAGGCGGGTGCCACTGGTGCATGACCAACCCGTCCTGGCTGGGTCCTAGGAGACTCTCAGCCGGGCATGGTCCACTGCTGCTTGCCTCTCAGTGTTGGCACAAAAACTCCGTCACCCAAGTGTCGCCCAAGGTGACCTTTTTAGGGGGACGTCTGTCACCCTGAGAGGAGCTCGAATACTGGATAGACAGCCCCTCACCCTGGGGGTCTGTAAGAATTGCATCATCGCTAGACCCCCCTGGCCCTCAGTTTCCCCAGTGATGGCCACGCCAGCCCTGGAGGAGGGAGGGACACAGGTGTGAAAGTACCCAGCCCAGGGTCAAAGGCCACTACAACTGAAGGGGTGTCGGCAGACACTCCTCTTCCCTCTGGCAGGTGTGGGGGGGGTTGGGGGGAGAGGCCACCTATGTCTCCCCACAGGGCTCAAGCTGGGCAGGGGTGACCTCAGTGTGGAGTGGATTACAGTCTGCACCTGAAATCCAGATAGAGAGGGGACAGAGAAGCAGGAGAGGCAGGGGCAGGGCCAGGGCCAGGGGCAGGGGCAGGATGGCCCAGAGAGGGTGTTGGCGGCTATGCTGGGCCTGCACCTCAAGGGCACTGGCTGTGAGTGGGCTGTCACGCTGTTACCGACACGACCCGCAGGGGCTTTGGGCTTGATAGTTTACCACAAATGACAGAACAAAGCAGCTGTGTTGGTGGTGTTATGTGCCATGGAGTCAGCTCCGACCCCGTGGACAACAGAACGAAACCCTGCCGGGTCCTGTGCCAGCCTCACAATCCCTGCTGTACCTGAGCCCATCGTTGTGGCCACTGTGTCTGTCCATTTTGTTGATGGCCTTCCCCTTCTTCGTTGACCCTCCACTTTACCAAGCGTGACATCCTTCTCCAGGGAATGGTCCCTTCTGACAACATGACCAAAGTAGGGGAGACCAAGTCTGGCCATTCTCGCTTCCAAGGAGGATTCTGGCTGCACTTTCTCCAGGACAGATTTATCCATTCTTCTGCGAGTCCATGGTACTTTCAGTATTCTTCGCCAATACCACAACTCAAAAGCATCAACTTTTCTTTGGTCTTCCTTATTCATTGTCCAGCTCTCACATGCATATGAGGTGATTAAAAATACCATGGCTTGGGTCAGATGCACCTTAGTCTTCAAAGTGACACCTTTGCTCTAACACTTTAAGGGAGGTCTTTTGCAGCCGATTTGCCCAGTACCATACGTCGTCTGACATCTTGACTGCTGCTTCTAGTGGTGTTGGTTGTAGAACCAAGTAATGTGAAGTCTTTGATAACTTCAAAATTTTCTTCATTTGTCATGATGGTGCTTCTTGGTCCTGTTGTGAGGATTTTTGTTTTCTTTATGTTGAGGTGTAACCCTTACTGCAGACTGTATGGATTCTTCAGCCTTCATCAGTAGGTGCTTACAGTCATCCTCGCTTTTAGCGAGCAGAGTTGTGTCATCACAGGTTGTTAACGAGTCTTCCTCCAATCCTGATGCCATGTTCTTCTTCATACAGTCCAGCCTCTCGGATTATTTGCTCAGCATACGCATTGAATAAGTAGGGTGAAAGGATACAACCCTGACACACTCCCTTCCTGATTTTAAACCACACATATCCTCTGGTTCTGTTTGAACAACAGCCTCCTGGTCTGTGTACAGGTTCCTCATGAGCACAGTCAGTGTTCGTAATTCCCATTCTTCTCAATGTTACCCATAAATGGTTATGGTCACACAGTCGCGTGCTTTCACGTACTCAGTAAACCACACGTAGACATCTTTCTGGTATTCTTTGTTTTCAGTCAAGATCCACCTGACATCAGCAATGACAGCCCTCGCTCCACGTCCTCTTCTGAATCCACAGATGTAGGAAATCTGATTTCTGTGTATCCCATCTAGCGTGGTCCAGGTGTGTGGTGACTGTTTATGTTGTTTGAAAAAAAGGTCTTTGCAGTGAATAAGTAGTTGCTCTTGCAGAATTCTATCATGTGATCTCTGGTGTCATTTCTGTCACCAAGGCCATATTTTTCAACTACCGATGATTCTTCTTTGTTTCCAGCTCTGGCACCCCAAATCACCAATAATTATCAACACACCTTGATTGCACATTGGGCCAATTTCAGATGCAGAAGTTGGTAACCGTCTTCAATTTCTTCATCTTTGGCTTTGGTAGTTGATGCATAAATTTGAACAATAGTTTTAACTGATCTTCCTTGTAGGCATATATGGATATTATCTTATCACTGACAGCATTGTACTTCAGGACAGATCTTGACACATTCTTTGTGATGATGAATGCCACGCCATTCCTCTTCAGTTTGTCATTCCCTGCATAGTGGGTCATATGATTGTCTGATTCAGAATGGCCAAAACCAGTCCATTCCAGCTCTCTAATGCCTAGGATACTGATCTTTAAGTGTTCCATTTCATTTTTGACAACTTCCAGTTTTCCTATGTTCATACTTCATATATCCCATGTTCCAATTATTAATGGATGTTTGCATCTGTTTCTTCCTATTTTGAGTTGTGCTACCTCAGCAAACAGAGGTCCCGAAAGCTTTACTCCTCTGTCCACATCATTAAGGTTGGCTCTATTCTGAGGAGGCAGCTCTTCCTGTTGTACTTTGAGAGCCTTCCGACCTGAGGGGCTCATCTTCTGGCACATATCAGACAGCGTTTCAGGGCTGTTCATAAAGTTTTCCAGTAACATACCAGACAGTGTCTCATTGCTATTCATAAGGTTTCCAGTGTTGAATACTTTGAGAAGTGAATGGCCCCTTCTTTCTTCCCAGTCTGACTTTGTCTGGACGCTCCGTTGATTCCTGTCCACCATGGGTGACCTGCTGGTATTTGAAACACCAGTGGCATAGCCCCCAGCCTCACAGCTACATGGCGCCCCTCCCCGCCCAAGTCTGACAGACAGGCAGACGAGTGGTGGACAGCAGTTTTATCGAGGCATAATCGACACACAGGAAACTGACACACCAAACATGCACAACTGATCAATCATGACCC